CCCTCCCCGAGTGTCACCGCCTCCCCCATGTCCCCCCAGTGCCCCCCAACCTGCACGATGCCGAGAGTGGCCGAGGTCACGGGGTCCGAGAAATCCCCTCCAGGCGGGGACACGCTGCGGGTGACAGAGGTGGGGGAGGGGGGTGGGTGGGTGAAGGGTCCTTTGGGGGGTCCCCTCCCTCCTGGAGCCCCCTTCCCACACTCACGCTCCGACGATGCTGACGCTGCCCTCGCGGGGGGGGGTCCCGAGGCACCGTGCCCGCCCTGCCCGCTCGTAGAACGAGGCCAGGCGGGCACCCAGGTATGCGGGGTACCCGCTGTCTGCAGGGGCACCCGTCACCAGGGGGTACCCCCGATACCCATGGGGGGCACCCTGTCACACACAGGGTGTCCCCAACACCCAAAGGGGTACCTGCTGTCTCCGGGGCCACTCTGGTCACACGGGTGTCCCCTGACACCCAAAGGGGGTCTGCTATCACCCCAGGGGGTCTCTGACACCCAAAGAGGTACCTACTGTTCCCATTCCCCCCTATCCCAGATCTGGGATTTCCCATGGACCCATTCCCCCCGTGCCCAGGATTTGGGGCTCCCCAGCCCCTCCCCATGACCTTGGGCCCCATTTTTCCCCCTCATATCCCATATTTTGGGGTCTCCCCCACGGTCATCTCTGCCAGGGGCCCTGAGATCTCCTGGGGTCCTGTCTCCCCCATATCCCAGATTTAGGGTTTCCCATGTTCCCATTCCCCCCATAAGCCAGATTTGGGGGTTCCCATGGCCCCATTGCTCCCATATCCCAGAATTTGGGGTTTCCCACATCTCCATACCCCCCAGTCCCAGATTTTGGGGTCTCACCCGCAGGCATCTCTGCCAGGCGTCCTGAGATCTCCCTGAGGGCCTCTGCCCAGCGGGACGTGGAGTCTGCCAGGAGGCAGCTGTGGAACCCCATGTCCCTGAAATACTCGGACAGGGTGATCCCTGCAAACACGAGGGTCACACCCTGGGGGGGCACAGTGATCCCAGCATGGCACACCCCTCCCCCAGGGCATGGAAGGGTGGGAGTGGGCACAGAGGCCTCACATACACAGACAGGTGAGTTCTTGCACACCCTCCCAGGTGCCCCCTCAGCCCCCTCCCCGATGCCCTCCCATTCTCCCCCATGTGCCAGTTCCTACCCCCCCACCCATTCCCACCTCTCCAGGTGCCCCTTCATTACCCAGGTGTCCCCCCCCCCCAAATGCCCACTTCCACCCCTGGTGCCCCCCCCGTGCC